CAACTTAATCAATAACGTCTTTTAACAAATCAATAGTATACAGGTATCCTACAATAGATTGTTGCAGAAACTAATACTTAGTTCTTACGTATTTTGATCGTTCGAACGATAAATTTGTTGTACTTTTATTTTCACTTGCTGAGACAAAAAAAAGCGAATAGTAGATGGACTTTTGTTTTATTATAATAGAATCAATAAAAGAAAACAAAACAACTTACTTTCGATTTTTTTCTCTTTCACAATCTTTACATTAATGAGAGAATACAGAATATGACACTTTTTTGGTTGCCTACTATGGTAACACATATTTCTGCTGATGAATAACAACATATAAGTGATAACTTAGAAATATAATACGACAATATTGTAATCTAACTTTACTAGCAGTCAGTCATTCAAACAGAAATTTTCAATTTTATCGATACAATTGTTCCCCGTCATTCGATATAAAGAAAATGATATGAAGCGAATCAAAATGTATTTAAACCTTATGTATTATCATTCAACTGAACATTAATTCATTTTACGTTGAATATGAATATTTCAGTTCATAATAGAAGAAAGAATTATCCTGATTTAATAGTATTATGTGTATTTCAAATACCACTTTTATATAGACATTACAACGGAATTTACATAAACTTGTGTATATCAAACTATTATCAATTGATATTTATCAACATAGTATGAGTAAATGTTTGGTGGAATGCGTGTACATATTTTTTTTAGCACTGAAGTATATATAAACCATATAAATCAATACATGCGAAAATGACTGCATTGATTATTGTGTACAATATGAAGATCTAATTAAGAATTAATTGCAGAATGATATATTTTCTTTTTGTGTAATGTTTTATTCTATCCTTCGATTTTTATCACTCATTACAGACAAAGAAACAAGCAACATTCATATTGTTCCATTGCTAACTATTTCATCGTTATGCGATTATGTGTTCTTTTTTTGAACGTGGACCGGTGTCTTTTTAAACGGATGAAACGCGTATCGATGTCTGTGTTACTTTGTAGTATCATTTTGTAGATCCGAAGGTTCAAACGCAATCGATTCTGTTGTGGCAGTTGTTGAAGTAGGACTATACTTGAAGTTTAATATATACTTTGGTATTACAATTTGTAGTTCGATGTCTTTCGTTATTCCATATGTCTCAGGCTTTTCCTGAATTTGATTGAGTTAAATTAAAATAGATTCCATTCGTTCTGACTGAAAGATAGCTTCTCTAGCGAGTGTTAATTCAATATCAACATTGATAGTTTGCAATTCGGAATAGATCCTATTTAAATATCCCTAAACGAACATATAAAAAGAAAAGATTTATCAATCATTAGGTTACTTCAGCGTTTTGTTTTGCATTTTCAATACCGGAAATGATTGTCTGATGTGCTGCTAATAAGTCGTTTTGATAAGATTTAAAACATTGTTTGATTTCTTCCGTTGACTTTAAAACTTCCTGTTGAACCATGTCATATTTTGTTTGAAACAATTGTTCCAATGAATGATATTGTTGCGAAAGTTGAGCTACATTGTGTGGTAATTCATTTGTGTGATCATTCATACAATCAAAACAGAATGCCTGAGAACAATGATTACATGTATATACAGATTGTTGCCTTCGTCCATGTCTACTCAGACATAATGAACAAAGCTTTGGTTCGACAATTGTTCCTTGTGTTAATCCCATGTCGTTGCCTTTTTTTTAAATATTTCAGTGGAAAAATTTCTGTTGTTCTAAAATTTTCTTTATCTATGTGAGTCAAAAAAAGTCTCCAACGAAAAACAAGAAATTCTGTCAATTTCTTTTTCTTTTCGTTCTACGATATTACAAGTATAGTCTTCACTAAGCTGTACACACATCTCGCTATTCTTAGTATATTTGTTCCTTTGTTCTCACTCCGCTTTTTCATCTAAATGTTGACATAACTCTTCTGTGATATATATATATATGGGCCATAAATTTATTTTTTTTTCTTTGTACATATGTAATATGCGATGCGAGAGTCTTTAGGAAAATGTGAAACTCTGTTATACTATATTGTCGACTTCTTAACAAATCAAACTTTTTTTTGCTAGCAAGATGGATATCTGAACTACGAATTTTATACGAAATATATTTTTTCAGAATGAACCTGACAAGGAGGAACAGCACAAAATCAAACACCTAAAAAAGTTCTTGCAAAGTTTTTTCAGCTTGAAAAGTCTGTATTTCTGAATTATTTTGGAGCTACATAAATGGACTAAATTCGAACAAAAATACTCCAAAATATAGCACATCGAAAATTCTGTCGATATTAACCTTCACAAAGTTTATAAGGTCCTTTTCTGACTCTTTAATTAAAATAGTTGAAAAAATGAAATTTTTGTAAAATACAGTCTTTTATAAGAAATACTAATTTGAAAAAATATCAGCCATCATTTCATGAGATGCCTAATTCGAGTTCAAATATAAGTGGAGCATCGAAAGCTTGACAACACTTTGAAAGTATAAAAATGAATTTGAAGAAGTACCCATGTTAGAACGGTCAAACTGGCCAAAGATAAATTTTGAACTGATTCATAATTACTATGTGAACTACATGTTACTATGATGATTGATGTTTAAAAGATTTTCAGGAAATCTCTAATAAATTAATGATCTGACACAAAAGGTGTGACTCTAGTGAAGTGCTTTTGGTCGTGTAACCGACTTTCATATCAGCATTACGGTATAGGGGTACGCAGCATCCCCGAAGAGCCACGATCAATGCTCGTCTCTGTGTATATAGTGGAGTGAATGTCTGTAGTGTCTTCTACCACACATACCCACAAATCGACAATTTTTCTTTAGTTTTTTTATCGTCTGAACCATGAACACTTTCACTTGAATTATAATTCAGATTAAGATAAAAACTTATCTTTGGCTTTTATGGTTGTTTTAACATGTGTGCCCTCTTGTTAATTATGATCGTATTTGTGAAAAGATTTTTGGCTTTGTTTTTGGCTATACAGGAGTTAATGGAATGTTGAAAATTTCATATCTTTTCACGCTCGAATTAGACAGCTATTCCTATGATTTCCAGAAATTATGCATGAACTAAATTCTTTTTGGATTATTTATTTAACATATTTCAGGTCATAGAAATTTAATAGAAAAAAATATGTTTTTATCGTTGCAGAACAGCCAATTTAATCAATCTTTTTTAGAAAAACTGATATTTTGATATAAATATGAAGAGTAAATTTTACTTCCAATACACCATTGAAAAGAGTACTCATTACACTATAAAAATCAGTATTAAACATGTTTTTTCATTTTCTTTCTGATTTAATGAACATTAACAGAAAACAAAAAGTGCTGTTGCTTGATATTGAAGTTGCAAGAAGTTTTTGGCGATATTTGTTTTTTTGTTGCTTTTCCTCATCAACAGATTTGTTCTGGATAAGATTAAAAACAATATTTTAAAAAAATAGAATTCAACTGTTTTTTTTTCTATACTATTATCCAAAATGGAATTGTTTCAAATTCTTATACTTATGAGGGAACGATTCCAGATGTCCCTATTCGATTTCAATGATTTGTTGCCTATGGATACTACATAGTATTTTAGTGAATAAATCTTAAAAGGTTTGAGTTTATATTGAATTTTTAGTATAACTATTTGTTAGAGACTTCTGAAGACCCCAGGTTTTCGAAAAAATCATGTTTTTGAATTTGATCTTGAAACTATATTCATTTGAAGGTCTCATATACAGCAGGTTGTATGAAGAATTTCAGAGTTTCTAGACTTTGTATTTTAGTCTCAAGACAAAATTAAAAAATACGATATTTTCAAAAACTTAGGATCCTAAAAGGATCTTTGACGAATGATCATATTAAAAATTCAATAAGAATTCAGATCCTTTTAGGTTTTTCTTTAGAATACTATGCAGTATCTATAGTCAAAAAAAAATCATTGAACTCGAATGGAGACATCTGGAGTTGTTCTCTTTTTAGTCGCTTTAAAAAAACTATGAATGATTTTTATAAAATTCGTAGCAAGTATTTAATTTTTAATCCATGTCATGATATTCAATTAATTGTTGACTATCCCTTAAATAATAAACAATAACATTTTGAAGATCTTGATTCAAATTAAAAGATAAAGAAAGACTTCTTTATTTCTTCTTTTAGTGAAGAAATGATGATTCATATGTCATTGAAACGAACTAATCGTGTGTTATTCTTTTTCCTCACTTTGTATTAAACAGTTGTTCTTTGTACTATTTATTGTTAATCGATATCAAATTTTTTAAATTTATTCATATTCTTATTGTTAAGTTATGCATGCTAGTCAGAAATTTCAAGGTGCTAAACCACCTCGGTAAGAATTTGATTAAATTCATAAAAACTTCATTTTTAACCATTTATTTTATATTCAGTATTCCGACTCGATCTGGTATTGTTCAACAACCAACACAAATTGCACCAGTTAAACGATTAGCAAATAATACACCAGTAACAAAAACAAGAGCTTCAACTATGGTCAAATCACAATGTTAGTTTATTATTATTATTATTATTAAATTTATATGATTTAAAACAATTTTCATATTAGCTTTTTCGCAAATCATATATATATATTTGTTAATTTCAGCTGCATACAATATACCAAGAGCATCTACTGTAACAGTCACTGCTCCAGTTGTTTCACAAATGAAAAAAGTTTGTTGTTAATGATATTAATATAGAAATACAATTGAATATGTGATTTTTTTTTTCAAGTCAATTAGTGAACAAGATCTTGTTAATGTTGTACCTAGAACACAAAAATCTCGATTTGGCTTTGTTAAAAAATCTGCTGACTTAGCTGGTATGACTTAAAACTTCTATTAATCATTTCTATTTTATAGTTTTTTAGCTGTTCGAGAAGATCCACCACATGTCTCACCAGCAAAACCTGTTGCTTCATCACGTATTAGTGGTGCTTGGAAAAAAGTTTTTATCATTATTAAAGAAAAAGAAACCTCATTTAATTAATTATATAAACATTTTTTTTTAGAATAGTGACGATCTAGTTGATGAACGTGATCGACGTGAACTTATTCTTACTCAAAATGAACTTTTACAAATAGTCTTTACTAATCAGTTATTTAATGAAATTGTTCAATCAAATCGACAATTGCAAACAGTAAGAAACATTGTTTCAAAAGGAAAAAAAAACCAACATTTGTTTTTTCTTTCTCAAAAACAAAAATATTCAGGCTCGTTTCGGTAAATTACATCGTGCTGCATATCGAATAATTAATGATATTAATAATTTACAAGAAACAAGAAAAAAAGCTATTGTAGATAAAATCGTTGGAAATATTATTAAAACATTGGTAAATTTTCTTTATTATCTTCTCTCGATTATTTATAATATTTAATTATGTTTTTTTTTTGTTTTTAAGGGTGAAATATTAAGTAAAATTGTTCGTTTATTTAATGATTATGACCAAAAACAACAAACACTTGATATTTGTCTTTCAAATAAACTTGATCGACTTAATATTCAATCTGTCGTAAATGATGTAACAGATGAAAATAAAGGTATTATATTTAAAATGAAACAAAACAAAACTATC